GTTTGAGCCCATAGATGGATTTTCTTAATTTACAAACCATTTTCTTCGGATCATCGACCTCAAAGCTTTCTGGTTGTACCATATAGATCGTCTCATCAATGTCACCATTGAGAAACGCTGTCTTTACATCCATCTGATGTAGCTCTAAATCAAAATGTGCCACTAGAGCCATGATTGTTCTAAAAGAGTCCTTCGAAGATACCGGAGAAAAAGTCTCTTTATAGTCAATCCCTTCCCTTTGAGTATAGCCTTTAGCCACAAGACGTGCTTTATACCTCTCCACATTACCATTTGCATCCCGTTTGGTTTTAAAAATTCATTTGCAACCAACAGGTTTTGCACCTTCTGGTAATGGGACAAGTTCCCAAACTTTATTGTCTTGCATTGACTTATACTCTTCACGCTTTGCTTCGATCCATTTATTTGAGTTGGGATCCTTCATGACTTGTTTGAGGTTGATATGATCATCCTCATTCAAGCCATCCACCTCATTTTCTTGAAGAAATACCAAATAATCATCCGGAATGGCATTTCTACGTTCTCTAGTGGATCTTCGCAAAAGCGTTGGCTCTTGAACTGTATGTTCTTGAGTTTGTTGAGTTTGTTCTATATGTACATGTTGAGGTTCAGGTTCAAAATGAACAGGCTCTTCAATTGTATCTTGAAACTGTATGGGAGATGGAATGACTATTTCCTCTTGAGGAATCGGGTCAACCACTTTGGTGATTTCTTGATCCTCAATAGTAAAGTTCGAAATTGTATTTCTCCCCCCAAACTCAACATCCTCAAAGAACGTGGCAGTGCCCGTCTCAAAAATATTTCTTGATGTGGGATCATAAAATTTATACCCCTTTGACCGTTCCGAGTAACCAATGAAATAACAGCTAACCGTACGAGGAGCTAGCTTTGGTTCATTTGGCCTATAAGGCCTCGCCTCAGCTGGACAACCCCACACCTAAAATGCCGTAAGCTAGGCTTGCACCCAGTCCAAAGTTCATAGGGTGTTTTAGCAGTCGTCTTAGTTTGTACTCGATTTAGGATGTAGACTGCAGTCTTTAGTGCTTCCCCCTACAAGGATCGTGGTAAAGTAGATTGGCAAATCATACTTTGAACCATATCCTTTAATGTGTGATTTCGTCTCTCAGCAACACCATTCATGCTAGGCGAACCCGACATAGTATATTGAGGGACAATTCCACACTCCTTAAAGGAAGTCAGCAAATGGGTCTGGACATTGTTCACCGAATCCATCATTTCTGCCGTAATATTCACCTCCACGGTCAGATTTAACGATCTTAATGCATTTGCTGAGTTGATTTTCAACTTCAGCCTTAAATGCTTTGAACATGTCCAAGGCCTCAGATTTTTCCCATATGAGGTATAGATAACAATATCGAGAATAATCGTCTATGAATGATACAAAGTATTTTTGACCATTTCATGAAGGTGTAGGAAAAGGCCCACAAATATCCGTATGTATCAACTCTACTACTTCTGTAGCTCGATAAGCACCTATCCTCTTTACTTTGGTTTGTTTACCTTTAATGCAATTGACACAAACATCAAAATCCGAGAAATTAATAGAATCAAGAATTCCATCCTTAACGAGTCTTTCAACTCTATTTCTCGAAATATGTCCCAAACGTTTATGCCATAGCATACTTGATTCATTTAATTTTCGCTTAGTACCTCTTGTTTCCACATTCAGGGTTTCGTTATGGGAAGTTATAGTGTTGAACATATATAAATTATCATTTTCCATATAAGTACCAAAACCAACCACATTAGAATCAAAAGACAACACAACTTTATTATTTCTAAATGAACAATAATAACCGGATTTGTCCAAATAAGAAACAGAAACCAAATTCCGTCTAAAAGACGGTATAACAAAAGTGTCTTTTAATTCCACAAAATGTCCAGTACTTAATAATAATTTAAATATGCCCACAACTTCCACATCCACCGATTCACCATTTCCAAAACAAATGCGTCTTTCAGCATCAGTTGGTTTTCGGTGGCTTAGGCAACCCTGCATTGAAACACCGATGTTAATAGTTGAACCGGAGTCTAACCACCAAGTGTTTCGAGGTACTGAAGCTAAATTAACTTTAGAACAAACCAAATTAAAGAATGTACCTTTCTTCACGCACCAGGCGGAGTACTTAGCACAATCTTTCTTTAGATGTCCAGATTTCTTGCAAAAGAAGCATGAAATCTTCTCCGGTTTACCCTTTGGAGCTGGACCCTTAGCAGTCTCAACCTTAACGGCCTTAAATTTTCTTTTAAAGCCATCAGCATCTTTCGAGGTACCAACCATATGTACCTCCTCAGCCCTATTATGCTTCATTCTTTCTTCTTCCTCAACACAGTGAGAAATGAGCTCATTAAGAGTCCACTTCTCCTTTTCGCAGTTGTAACTGACCTTAAATTGATCATATTGAAGAGGAAGAGAGAGCAGGACCAATAGGACAAGCATGTCCTCCGAAAGGTCTAACTTTAGTGCCCTCAACTTAGAAGAAATATTGGACATCTTAAGGGTGTACTCCCTTATGTTGCCTTTGCCGAGATAACTCATGGTAATAAGACTCTTTAAAAGAGTACTCATTTCCGCCTTATCGCTTTTGTTAAAGTGCTTTTCAATCTCGACAAGGAACTCTTTAGCCAGAGTGATATCATCAGATATCGTTCCTCGAAAGATTTCTGGAATGCTTTTCTTTATGATCATAAGACTTAGGCGATTAGACCTTTCCCACTTCTCAAAGCACAATTTTTCCTCAGTAGTGCTGTTCTCCGTAAGAGAAGCAGGTTGATCTATCCTTAATGCCAAGTCTAGATCCATACAGCCCAAATGAATCAAAATTGATTCCTTCCAGTTCTTAAAATTGTCCCCAGATAAAGTGGAGACTGGATAGTTGGTAGATACCATAGATGAAGAACTTGATGAGAATAATAAATAGAGATACTCACATTATTATCCATAATTAATCATTTAAACCAAATATGGTTTAAACCCATAGCAAGATACCAAGCACAACATTAATATCATATCTTTGGATAATAATATCAATTGTAAGTGGTACTCTTGTTGCAATAATCAAATCTTGACAATAAATTCTGTCAAAAAATAAAACTATCTTTGGATAGAATTATTGTTCACATGAAAACCTTACAATTGTCACAGATTTATTATCACAGGTATGTTTGTAATTCGGCCATAATGCAAGTGTAAGCGTCCTGGTCCGGTTTGAATGGATAGATCTTGGTCCTCGCCGGTAGAACGCCGGAGACCTGCAAATAACTCTCACACTGGGGGTTGTATCCGGTGAAGAGCCTCCGATGCTTAAGTCAGTATGTGTATGAGTATACTGAAGTGAAGTATGGAAGATAGAATGTGTTAAGGGAGAAAGGCTCACCCCCCTTTATATAAGGGTGAAATACCTGCCCTAAGAGCTGACCGGATAAGGATGAGCTGGCTGCCCAAGCTGCCCGTCCGTACTCTGGCACGCCGCGCACATGTGAGGGGTGGCGCGAGGCGTTGGGAGCTGTCAGAGGTGGTTATCGCTATCACCCAATACATTGGTGACACGTGTCCCCCCTGCACATGGGGTAAATATTCTTCTGGGACTTAGTTGGAGGCTCTCACGCGCGCCCGTGATATACGCGCCCATGACTAGGCCGACTGTTAGTTCCTCGAAGCGATCGACCTGTTGAGGTCGAATAGGTTACTCGATCATGTATCTAGTCGAGCGATGGGTTGCTCGATCATTAGTTTGGTCGTGCAGTGGACTGCTCGATCGTTAGTCTGGTCGTGCGATGGGTTGCTCGATCATTAGTTTGGTCGTGCTGTGGACTGCTCGATCGTTAGTCTGGTCGTGTGGTGGACTGCTCGATCGTTAGTCTGGTTGTGTGGTGGACTGCTCGATCGTTAGTCTGGTCGTGTGGTGGACTGCTCGATCGTTAGTCTGGCCGTTTCCCTAAATGTTCGATCTTCCTGCCTTTTGGCTTGGCTCCCTCTCGGTTTAACCTTCTTGACCGGCCCAGCAGACCGGTTTAGCTTTGTGTATATAATATCCCATATCATCTAGTCCCCCCCACTCTGGTCGAGTCTGAGTAACTCGATCTAAGAGTGAATAAGTATTTATCGACCTCTAGGATGGCTCGTCATCAGATATCGACCGGTTGGCGAGTTTCTCGCTTATCTTTTCAAATAAATTCCCATTAATTGTCAGGCATAAAGTAGTCTGTCCCATATCCTTCCTGTCTCATCTGCTTTCCTGCCACGCGTCGCTTCTGTTCGCGTGTGTCAGGTACTTTAATGATGACGCCCCCTCGCATAAAGCGCCCACTTAGAGTGTCGTGCCATTTAATGCTTTCCGCCGTGCGATCTAACTTTAATCTAACGGTCTTCATCTTTCCACCTCTTGGGTTCCTCAGAGTATAAAATCAACACTTAGTAAAATTTCGGATTTTTTCGCTTTCACTCTCCCCAAATTCCCTTTGCATTCACAGCTCTCTCTGCAAAAGATCCTAGTTTCCGCCGGCGATTCTTCCTGCAATCTTCGAGCTTTTCCAATTCTCTCCTCCACAATTATGAGTAAGTTGTTTTTCCCCTGATTTTGTACTTCGTGTATCTGGGATTTTGTGTTTTAAGAAATTTTTTCTCTGTCTTTTTTTCAATTGGGCATCTTGAACCTCACTGACTGGGTATCTTGAATTTGTGTATTGGGTATTCTTGTTTGGTTGTCAATTGCTGTGGATTTTGCTTCCTTCTTCAAGAGGTCCCCTGAAACCTTTGTTCTTCCGCTTTAATTTCCCCGAAGTCACCCCTCTCATAGAACCTTAGTTTTTCTCTTCTTAATTCCGTTTTTTGTTGTTTGAATTTTCTCTCTCTTCTTTTTTCTTTTTCAAATCCTGTGCCTCCATCTCCTTCCTCGACCACTTCCTCTGACTCAGTCCAGATACTACCTTCTGCTCTTGAGGCCGTTCCTCTCTCGATTCTTCGCCCCGGTGATACTGTCCCTACCCGTGTCTTCATAGCTCGTGTTGCTTCTTCCAACTCCGGCGACACTATGGATAATATCCCTCTCCGCCGTCGTCGACCTGCCTTTGGTTCAATGGATGAGCCAGAGGAAGACGAAGCTATTTCTTCTCAGCCCACTTTTCCCGCATCTTCGACCGTTCCTCCTTCTTCGAATTCTCCGCCCAAGCGGTCCTCGACCAAGAAACCTTCCAAGCGACCATCTTCTACCTCTCTCTCTACCCCTGGTTTGATCTCAAAAAAATTGGCCAACCTCTTGGTTGGGCGTTCATTAGATCTTCCCCCTCCGACCGGTATGATCATCCTCCGCAAGATTGTTACCCTTTCTTCGAGGTCCACTTTAAGCTCGGGTTACGTTTTCCTTTGAACCGTGATATAATCCGCATCTGCGAGTGGTTCTCGCTTCCCTTGCATCAACTTCCTCATAACGCCATCTGTTTTATCATCACTTTCATCATCCTTTGTCACATCCGTCTAGGTCGATTCGACCTAGACTTCTTCCATTATTGTTACTGCCCCTCTAAACTGGGTCGAGGTCTTTATTTGAAAAGCCGCAATGGTGCGCACTTCATCAATGACATCCCCTCCAACCTTCCCAAGTGGAGCGATAAGTTCATCTTCGTTCGACCTGACGTCCCTTTACCTTGGCCTTCCATCCCTTGGGTCAAGGATGTTTCGAAAGCGGCAGCCTCGGCCCCTCCAGCAAACCCCCTCTTCGACCAACGGATCCATACTTGGAATTCCAAGACCGTTGCGTCTGAAAAACTTCTCATTTTGAATGTTGTCCTATATTTGTTATTCTTGTTGAAGTAAGTGCTAATGTTGGTTCTATTCTGTTTGATGTGCTCGTGCAGAGGCTCGCAGCTTCAACATTCCTCTGAGGAAAGTGCCTCTGAAAAAGAAGACCGGAGGTACTTCTGGTTCAACCGGGGGTCAGGCAGAGGAATCGACCACTTCCTCGGGGTCTCGACCAGAGTCGCAACCGCGGTCGCCTCCACGAGAGACCCCCTTACCCCCTCCCCCGCCGCCGGGGCCACAGCAACCTCAACAACAACAGCAACAGCAGAAACAACCACAACAACAACTGAAAAAGCAAACACAACAACAACAACAACAGCTCTCCAAGACCTCGCAGGAGCGATCTTCCTCACTTCCTCCTGAGAAGAACCCCCAGCACAAACTTGATTCCCAATCGACCTCCAAGTACTCGTCCTCCTAAAAACTGTCGACCATCAACACAAATCCGATGACCGCCTGAAAGCCACTGACCACCATCAGAAACCAGATGACCGCTCACAGAAGACAGGTCCTCGAGCCTCTAATCCCAAAGATAACTCTCGAGGCCAAACTGTCGATAAAGCCTCCAAGCCCAACACCTCATCCAAAACCAAAACCCAAGAAAAGTTGCCCCTCGTCCACCAATCTTCCAAAAACATCCCTGTCGTATCGACCAAATCTCTGGTCGAGTCCGACAATCGCGATGACGGGGGACGCGAGTCAGCCTTGGGCAAACGCTCTCGAACTGAGCAGGGCGAGGCCGTTGCCAAGCGGGGGCGCGCTGGCCATCTTCCTCCTAATCCTCTCGCCACGAGGTCAACCTCCCTGCTGTCCGCCTCTGTGAATGAGGTGGCTGAACGCCTCGAGGGTGCCCTCCTCGAGGATGATCGCAAAAAAGCTATCGTCACGCTACCCGAGGTTGGCGATAAGCTCGTGCAGTGGTTCGCTCAGGTATTATCCATCTCTACTCTTTATATTGGTCCTTCTTACTTTCTTTCGCCGATCCATGGATTGAAATATTTTGTCATTTGTGTCGATAGGGCTTGGTCGATTTTCTGCCCCTGGCTAAAGAGGCCCAAGACAGTTCGGGGAAGTCGATAAAGAGCCTGGAGAGCAACACCTGCTACTTGCAGGACAAGAATTCGACTCTCCTGACTCATAATTTTAAGCTCCGCGAGACGCAAAGCGAGCAAAAATCCGAGTTCGAGTTGAAAATCAAGTCTCTCGATGAGGAGCTCTCGAACAGAAGTAAGGCTCTCGCGGAGAGAGAAGCCGCCCTCGCGGTGAAGGATGTGGCTATGGTGGAAAAGGAGACCGCCTTGAAGGAGATGACGGCTACCCTCGAGCAGGAGAAGGCTGCTCGAGCCCAAGCCGAAGCTGCTCGGGCCCAGGCAGAAAGTGTTCGAGCGGAGGCGGAGGCCGCCCGAGTCGCGATGGAAGCCACATTGGCCAAGGAACGGATGCCCAAGCTCAACAATGCAAACGCTACGCTGATGCCGATGCTCTTCGAGCCCGGCAGATGATGTGGGGCACCACCACTGGGCAGCTCTTCCTCCGAGAGTACCGTGATCAAGTGGTGGCCGATTACACACAATCACCATATTTTTTGAAAGAGGTGCAAGATTTTGGGGTGGATTGCTTTCAATTCGCCCTTCAGAAGGCTGGCGAGCAGATCACCGAGGACGACTTCGAGCAGCTCGACCCTGGGGCTATCTGGGAGGTCTTGCCCAAGGTCCCTTCTAGCTTCCAGGGCGATCCCAACTTATTGCTTGAGCACGAGTGGTGGTCAGGACTGCTCGAAAGGACTCTGGCTCGATCGGACGTACTGAAGAAGACATACGCTCTGCCCGATGGCCTCACTCCTCCTGCCTCGATGCTGGCTGTGCTGACCGAGTCTATCCGTCAGCGCCCACTCAATGAAGCTTGTGACTCGACGTCAGGGACCAGCCATCCGCCTGACCCGAATGCTAATCTAAGCAATGCTGACTCGAACACCGCTGCTCCTCCTTAGATTTGGCTTTACATTTCATCGTAATTTGAACTATGTGTTTGAATGTATCTTGTACTATCTTTCTTTGAAATGACAATGTTTGTTTTTTGATTTGTCTCTATCTTCCATAGCACTCGTTGGTAATCTTGATTTGATATCTTTGTTATAACACCTCGTGATCACTTGGATAATTTAATCCTATCGCACACACATATACACATCCCCCCCTTTAGAGGTGGTCGAGGCATGCGACCGTCCAGCCTCATGGCCTTAAACATGACGGGCTTTAAACTCATAAACACATGCCCACCCCTGGAGGTGGTCGAAGCATGCGACCGTCCAGCCTCATGGCCTTAAACATGACGGGCTTTAAATTTTTAAACACATGCCTACCCCTGGAGGTGGTCGAAGCATGCGACCGTCCAGCCTCATGGCCTTAAACATGACGGGTTTTAAACTTTTAAACACATGCCCACCCCTGGAGGTGGTCGAAGCATGCGACCGTCCAGCCTCATGGCCTTAAACATGACGGGCTTTAAACTTTTAAACACATGCCCACCCCTGGAGGTGGTCGAAACATGCGACCGTCCAGCCTCATGGCCTTAAACATGACGAGTTTTAAACTTTTAAACACATGCCCACCCCTGTAGGTGGTTGAAGCATGCGACCGTCCAGCCTCATGGCCTTAAACATGACGGGTTTTAAACTTTCAAACACATGCCCACCCCTGGATGTGGTCGAAGCATGCGACTGTCCAGCCTCATGGCCTTAAACATGACGGGTTTTAAATTTTTAAACACATGCCCACCCCTGGAGGTGGTCGAAACATGCGACCGTCCAGCCTTATGGCCTTGAACATGACGGGTTTTAAACTTTTAAACACATGCCCACCCCTGTAGGTGGTCGAAGCATGCGACCGTCCAGTCTCATGGCCTTAAACATGACGAGTTTTATACTTTTAAACACATGCCCACCCCTGGATGTGGTCAAAGCATGCGATCGTCCAGCCTCATGGCCTTAAACATGACGGGTTTTAAACTTTTAAACACATGCCCACCCCTGGAGGTGGTCGAAACATGCGACCGTCCAGCCTTATGGCCTTGATCATGACGGGTTTTTCGCGCTATTGGGCTTCTCTTCTGTGTCCATGCTTTTGCGCACATCTTCTGGTCTTGAAGTTGCGCTCATCCTAGTGCTCACGTCTTCGTGTCTTCCTATCTGGCTATACGGTCTTTATTGTGGGGAGTCCGTCTTCACACTTGCCCACCCCGAAGAATGTTCTAAACAGGAGGTGAAAATAGTGTTCGTCTTATGAACATAAATTGAAATACACAAAATAGCAGAGACGAAGAGCTGAAAATATAAGTATGTATCGAACAAAGAGTTTCCAATAATCAAACCAATAATATTGTGTACAAGGAGGTTTTACTATTTTATATTTTTTGTTTGGTGAACATTATATTATTGTGAAATTTTCCTACCTATTATAATTCTTTAATATTATATAGTTTAAAATTTAATACCTAACAAATAAGTATACCCCCGCATGGCACGGGTCACGCACTAGTAATATAAAAAAAAAAAATCAAAACTAGTCCCAGAGGTTTACTGTCATGTCACGTGTGATGAAGGTTGCCAGCATATAAAGAAAAAAAACGTCACATCTGCGCCACATGGCTTTACGGGCCTTTATGACCCGAAATTTCATCGAAAGTACTACTTTAGATTACTCTTTGAAAGTTGTGGGACTATTTGTGATAATCGCTCTCTTGCGTGACCAAAAATGGCACCCCCCTCAATTTGTGGGACTAGTTTTGATTTTTTTTTATTCCTTGTTAGTTGTCCCATATTGATTCTATAAGAAAAATAAGTCTACCTTATATGTCTAGTGTACTAATCCTCCCATCACCAAATGGTTTATGGAACCTCACTAGGTGGTTCACCTAGGATTATCCTCTCCTCTTATGTTGTGCTTCACCATGGTTGAAAGTTGTATAATTTTCTGAGTTGCTTTATGGTCCACCATGGTTTCCAGCTTGATTTTATATTCCAAACGTTGCTCCAATCGTGTTGCTCCAATCGTGTTACTGACCACGTATACGGAACTTACGATGATGGGTCTCTTGCGTTTCCAAGAACTCTAGAGAGTTGGCTTTAGCCTTTTGACTTTCAGACTTATATAGCTTATTGCTTCTTGGGTTTTTGAAGTTTTACATGTGAAGTCACCATCGACCGGGTGACTTTTTGACCTCCGGTGTCCTCGATCTCCTGTCGGCCTGCTGATCGGTTCAGTCAGGGCGCTCATTAGGTCATACTCGACCTGGTACGGTAGCCCATATCATATTAAATCTTTTTTAAAAATTTTATTTATTTAAAATCATTATTATCTTTTTTTTTCAACATATTAAACATTATTTATTAAAATTATTTAATTTAAATTATTGCATAACCAAACCATTTATAATTCCACACAGTAGTTGTATCAGTAATTTAATTTTTGGTGGTTTAATTATCTAGTCCTAATCACTCAATATTGCAGAAATTAAATTATTGCAATCAATATAGTGATCTATATGTAAATTAAATAATTTATATTGATATCATTCGTAATAGCTAATAAATTAATAGAATATGACATGTTCATTATCTGAATATTATCAATACAAATATCATATAGACGAACATATAATTTACAAAAATTCATTTGCATCGAGTATTAGTATTAATTCACTGTTTTTTCACTCGCCACACTAACGCTTAGTCATTAATTTAAGTTTTATTTGTCGTAAATTGTGCGTGATGGTGTACGTACCATTTCTATTATCTTTTACGATACTATGAAGGTCAATTACACCTTCCTTCTCCTTTTAGTCGAGATTCACTTTACTCTCCTGATTATATTCTATCTGCGTTTGATATGTATGGATATAGAACGAAGAGATAGTATTCAACAAATCACGCCCCTTATAGTATTCCATCAGAAGAATATTGGAAAGAAAAAAAGTATATCTCTCTGCTTTAGGACAAAGATTGACTGTCAAGAAAGACCGCTATCACTAGATGTATTACATATTCTAAGTATTGAATACTTCAAGGCCGGAGGGAAAGAGAACGCCTGAAAGGAGAGGAATAGGAGGAGAATCCACTGGCACTGGTCCCGTTAGCTAGGGAACCATTCTGTTGGAGTTTGTGACCGTTAGATCAACTATCTCTGACGGTTACTTGATGATCTATCAGTTACAAACCCCGACTAGTGTTGCCTCTGCCGAAGGTAAATGACGGGAAGCCTATCTCCCAACCACTCATGAAATTTGTTCGTCCAGCAAAGGAGCCGTGACGGAGCATGGTGAACGACTGAAAAACTCGAAGTGTTATGATCCAAAAGCCTACAAACTCCTTGTCAAAGCAGGATACAACCCCAATAAAAGTCTCTCCTTGGGAAACTTCATACCTCAAGAGCAAAAGCTAAACCGAGCAGGTCTCGGATATGTGACACCGAGTCTAATTAGAATCGCCATCAAGAGAGCAAATGCAAATCTTATATCAGAGGAGAAGTCTCTCCACTAACGTCAGAAAGAAAGGGCAAAGAGTGTCGGTGTTTCAAAGACTCGGTTCGGTCCTTAGCATTTCCCTATAACATGTCGCTCAATTCTCCGTATTAAAACTATTTATAATGTGAAATGTTATGGTTCCATTTAGTTGTTTGGTTAGTGTGGGTATTTGTTTCATTGATTAATGGAACTTGCACATATATAGTACAAGGGGGCAACCATATTTATTCCTCATACTAATTCAAACCCACGCACATATATAGCACAAGGGGGCAACCGTATTTATTTAGTTTTCTCACGCCTAATTTTAATTATCAGTAGGCATCTTGATCTTCGTGGCATTATCAGCTTCGACTCGCTGGAAGATCACTATCAACGCATGGGGAGAGTCGAACGGGTCGAGGTTAACGCCCAGGCGCTGGCCAGCCAAGATGGTAAGGTCCCTACATACGCGTAATGTGGAAATCCGGCTGCAGTACACGAGCTTGTAGAACGCCCCCTGCGGCTCGATCTGGAACTGGCTGTCCGCGGCGGCCCCCAGGGTGCCACCCGTACTCACGCCCAACGCCCGGAGGAAGGGAACCAATCGGATCGCCCAGACGCCACCGTCGTTGCACGAGGTGTTAGCGGAGGATGTCACAAACTGGATGTTGAGGTCGGTCATGGTGAGCACGGGAAGTCGAGCCTCGTCCGGCGCTTGGGCCAGGTGAAAGGTCACAGGGAGGCCCAGCCCGAAGGGGATTCCACTGGCCATGACGACGTTGAGAGGGCAAGTGTCGAGGTTGTCGGGGTCTGCGGTGAGGTCGCCTTGGTGGATGCCCCAAGTGGCCGACCTGATGTGGTACTGGACGCCGGTTTGCAGCTCTTGATAGTTCATGTCGAGGATCGGGCTTTGGGCAGCGGCGCACGAGAGGAGGAGGAGGAGACAGGGGAGAGAGATCAGATGAGTTGTATTCAACATCTTCTTCATTATGTTTTGTTATGATTTGTATGATAAGAGAGATGTATCGGTATGCGGTTATTGGGCGAGAGAGCTTGTCTCCTTTTATAAGCCAGCATTACATAGAACCACCCACACCGTATGAATTTCGTCTACCTACAAGACCAGGAAATTTCATAGTGTTATCTTTTCTTTTTTTTCGTCCAAATTTAAATTTAAGAAATTAAATAAAAATATCATGGTTGTATGTACAATAGAACCATGGTTGCGTTCCCTACAACCGCCTCTGTTTCCCCCGCGATAGCCACGGCCCACAGCCCCATCGCGGTTCGTTTGCAATTCCGAAACAACCATGTTGTTAAGCGTCAAATGCAAATCTTTTATCCCCGTCGAAAGATCGGCAAACCATGTGAAACTAGCACTGTCAAAACGGGCCATGGCCCGCGGGATGGCCCGTCCGTCCACATAAATGGACGGGCTTGGTATTAAAGGATCAAAACACTCAGTCAAAGCTGGTCAACCAAAGAATCCCGGTCAGCAAGAATTTGGAGCCATGCAGCCTCGTCACCATCCATGCAATACAAATTGAAGACAGTCTGTTAGGGTTAGGATTGCTTTAGTTGTTACCAATGGTAGTGCAAAACGTGTAGATATCACACACTCACATATTTGCTATAAATATGTAACCTTGAACAATGAGTAGCCGGTGAGAGAACCAACACAATGAAACAGTACACATTTTGAGCAAAGAAATTATTATGGTAGATCTGATCTTATCTTCAAGCTTTGATCTTTATTTTCATGTTTATATGATACTTCTTTATGGTATCAGAGCAGGTTAGCCTGTCTCTGCATATCTCCTTTTCCTTTTCTTTTCCTTTCTTGTTGATTACTGAAAGATGACAAATTCTTCACCATCTTCAAATCTGGAAGCTCTAATCCAGCTGCAAAGCCAACTGTTTTTAGTCAAGTTGAATGAAGGAAATTATCTCATTTGGGAACAACAAGCTCTTGCTGCCATTAGAGGCTATGGTTTGCAAGGATATATCACAGGAGAATAACCTCAACCAGAAAAGTTCATCTTAGGCCAAAACACCACAGATCTGTCCATAAATCCCAACTACACAAGCTGGGTGAGACAAGATCAATTGATAGCATCATGGTTGCTTTCCTCTTTCTCTGAAAATATTCTCATTACCACCGTTGGTCTTAATACCTCAAAGGAGATCTGGGATTGTCTAAAAATCAGCTTTGCAAGCCAAAGTCAGGCAAAACAAATGCAGCTGAGAATGGAGCTGCAAACTCTCAAGAAGGGAAACATGAAGGTTAGAGAGTATTTCAGCAAAATGAAGAGTATATGTGATATGTTGGCTATGGCTGGTCACCACATCAATGAGAGTGACCAAGTCCTTCACCTCCTTGCTGGATTAGGAGCTGAATACAACTCAGTAGTTGTATCTATTACCTCAAGAAATGACAAATGCTCACTGTTTGAGGCCTATTCGGTTATTCAAAGCTTTGAGGCAAGAATGGAAGCTATTGAAGGTGCATCTGGGTTAAATGAAGGCCCTCAACTTGCAGCAAACTTAGCCTCACAAGTCAATACAGGAGGAAGAGGTAATCAAAGTTATGGCAGAGGCAGAAACCAGCCTGGTAGAGGCAGATCTCAAGGCAGAAATGGAAATTTTAGAGGGAGAGGAGGTAGATATGGTGGAGGTGGCAGATATAAGTGTCCAATATGTGGTTATAATAACCACACAGCTGATAAGTGCTATTATAGATTTGACATGAACTTCACTGGAAGAAACTAAGGAAATTCAGGAGGGAACTTTGGAAATCAAAGCTATGGAAACACCTCTCAATCTGGTTATTCTGCCAACCTTATCACCAATCATGGAGATGCAGCTTCTGAAAATCCCTCTCAAGACTTAGGATGGTATCCTGATTCAGGAGCAACCAATCATCTCACCTATGACCTCAGTAATCTCAGCCTTGCAAATGATTTGTCATGGAAATGACAAAATTCAAGTGGCAAATGGAGCAGGTATGACTATTGCACATTATGGTAAATCAATGATGATATGTCCTTCAAAAAATGCTCTTCATCTCAATAACCTTCTACATGTGCCTCATTTAAACAAAAATCTCATAAGTGTAGCACAATTTGCTAAGGATAATGAGGTTTTCTTTGAATTTCATCCTTATTATTGTCTTGTGAAGGATCTCAAATCAAGAACAGTGCTATTGGAAGGGACCCTTGAAAATGGATTATACAAGTTTCATCTCACCAAGTCAAGCAGCCCTCATCAATCTTTGACTCCAAGCAAATCACCATCATCTCATTTTACTAGCTTTCAATTAAATTGTAATGCTGTTGAACAAAAAATTTCTGTTGGCCTAGAGATTTGGCATTCTAGATTAGGCCACTCTTCTTTTGATATTGTGAGAACAGCCCTTAAGCATTGTAATATTCCTTTTAATGACAATGTCCAAGATTCCTTATGTTCTGTGTGCATGCAATCTAAATTTCATAAGCTTCCTTTTCATAGTTCTGATTCTCATAATTATAAGCCATTAGACTTAATTCATTCTGACCTGTGGGGGCCTTCTCCAGTGACTTCCCACAAAGGTTACAAATACTATGTGAGCTTCATTGATGATTCCACTAGATTCACATGGTTCTACCTCTTGCACAAGAAATCTGACACAAAGGCAGCATTTATTCATTTTAAGGCCCTTGTTGAAAATCAGTTTCAAACTTCCATTAAGGCCTTTCAAAGTGATGGCGGTGGTGAATTTCTTGCACTTAAACCTGTTTTATCCTCAGCTGGAATCTTTCATAGACTATCATGCCCATATACTCCAGAACAAAATGGTTTAGCAGAGAGGAAACACAGAACTATAGTCCAAATTGGACTTTCCTTGATACATCAATCTCACATGCCTTTAAAATACTGGGATGAGGCATTCTCTACTGCTGTTTATCTCACGAACAGAACTCCTCAAAGACCATTAAACTTTATTTCTCCCTTTGAATCACTCACAGGCAACAAACCAGAATATAACAACCTTAAAACATTTGGCTGTCTTTGTTTTCCTCTAATGAAACCATACAACACTCACAAACTCCAACCCAAGAGTGTTCCAGCCACTTTTCTTTGCTATACTCCAGGCTTTAAAGGTTATAAGGTCCGACTTCCCAATAAGAAGATCATCATCACTAGACACCTTCTCTTTGATGAATCTTCTTACCCCTTCAAAACTCAACACACTCAGTCTTCCTCATAAAACCAACAAGCATAGTCTTTCTTATTCCACCAAAACAATGACCCTCCCATCATACATTTACCTGATACAACCACCCAATCATTTTCATCATCATCTTCATCCACACCATCCTCATCCTCATCATCTCCTTCATCACCCTCACCACATTCTTCTCCTTCTCACCACCATTCTCATCACTCTACACCAAGTTCATCTCCATCATCAGCTCATAATAGTTTTCAAGGACATATTTATGTTGATTTACCTATTGAGCATGGTCATATTTCTCAAACAGATGCTACTGATTCTTCCTCTCACAATGTTCCTACAGGTAACTTAAATACTCATCCCATGACCACAAGGTCAAAACATGGCATCTACAAACCAAAAGTCTTGGCTGCTCACATCTCCTCCTTCAAGGAACCTTCTTCCTTCTCAGAGGCTCTATCTTCACCTGAATGGAAAAATGCTATGGATTCTGAGATCCAGGCCCTTACCAAGAATAGAACTTGGGATATTACTAACTTACCTGCTGGCAAAACACTGGTGGACTGCAAGTGGGTATTTAAGCTGAAAAAGAATCCTGATGGCTCTATCTCTAGACATAAAGCAAGGTTAGTAGCTAGAGGTTTTACTCAGTCTGCTGGTGTTGATTACAATGAAACTTACAGCTCAGTCATTAAACCCACTACCATCAAAATTCTTTTGTCCTTGGCCATCACTCACAAATGGGACATAAGACATGTAGATGTTGATAATGCCTTTTTATATGGTGACATTGACACTGAGATATATATGACTCAACCTCCTGGATTTAAGTTGAGGAAATCCTTATATGGTCTTAAACAGGCCTCAAGGGCCTGGTCCAGCAAATTCACCTCAACTCTATTCTCTCTTGGCTTCAGTTCTTCTCAGGCAGATCAATCTCTTTATTTTAAGCATTCTCCTCATTCCAGTTTGTTTGTAATGGTGTATGTTGATGACATATTAATCACTGGAAGCTCACCACAGGCCATAGATCAGCTAATCACTCAGTTACAATCTCATTTCTCTCTGAAAGATCTTGGCAGACTGAATTATTTTCTTGGTATTCAAGTGATTTATGACTCTGGTTCTTTGTGCCTCAACCAATCAAGTTATGTTGATGAGATCCTGCATAGGGCTGGCATGCAGGGGGCAAAGGGAGTTAATTCTCATATGGTTGCATCACCAGCCCTATCAAAACACATTGGCAATCCCTTTCATGATGCTTATCTATATAGAAGAATTGTAGGAGCACTTCAATATCTCACCATGACAAGACCAGATATTAATTTTACTGTTAACAAGGTTAGCCAATTCATGCAATGTCCCCTTGACACACATTGGAGAGCTGTAAAAAGGATCTTAAGATATGTTGCTGGTACAAGGCATTTCAGCCTCAGGTTATCTCTTTGTCCAAACTTTAATATTGTTGGCTTTGCTGATGCTGATTGGGCATCAGATATAGATGATAGGAGATCAACCTCAGGCTTTTGTACTTTCATGGGTCAGAATCTCATATCATGGAGTTCAAAGAAACAAACAACTGTTTCTAGGTCATCAACAGAAGCTGAGTACAGGAGTTTGGCTCATTCTGTTTGTGAAATTATGTGGATAAATTCATTACTGAAGGAGTTGAGGGTCAAGCACAAAGATCCTAGTGTAATCTGGGTGGATAATTTAGGAGCAGTTCACCTAGCAGGTAATCCAGCTGGTCATTCTAGAACCAAACATATAGAGCT